GGGGGGAATGGGGAGCGGGATGAGGATCGTGGGCGGAGGGAAGGAGGGAGAACGAGAGGACTAAAATTTCGAATTTCAGCGTGACGTAATCATAAACAGCCCCTGAAGGTGTCAGACGTTACGAGCGCATGGAAAATCGCTGGTATTTGACTAAATATCAATTTTATAAAATCTTCCCGACTTCCATGGAAATTCACTTGACGTCACCGCGAGAGGAGTTCACCAAGTCGAGAAATTGAAATCCGTCCCCTTGTCGCACAGTGGACCAATTTGGGGAAGAAGTCGGACCAAAACTGCTTTTGATGTTTATTTCGTTACATCATTTAAATTTAAAGGGGGCTACGCCCCCTGACCGCTTCGCGGTTCGACCTTCCGAAGCGCTTCCCGCCTCAGGCATTATGCGTTACGCGTTAATCTTATGGTTTTACATTGTGTCATAAATCATAGGGGGTGAAATTTTACGATAAAACCTACATGGAGCCACTTTTTAACTTCTTCACTCTGAGTGAAATCTATAGTTTATGAACCATACTGATGTTTATATAGAAAATCATTAGTAGTGGTGAATGGACCAGTAATTTTCGGTCTTTGAACCATACAAAGATACCTAATTGTTATAAGAATGGTATGGTATCTATACCTCTGTGTGGTTCAAAAGCCAAAAGTCACTATTTCATCCACCACTATTAATGGTTTGCTCCATTTGAACAACAGTATGGTTCAAAAACCAAAGATTTTTCTAAATACCAACAAAAAAGTCGATGGCTAAAATAGGCGACCGCGTTTATCCGCTTACGACGTTATAGACTGGTCCTACTTTATTTATTCCTTGGAACAACGCGCCGCGCTGACTGCACTGTGTTTGGCGCAATGCGTGAAGTATTCATGCAGTCTTGCAAGCGCTATGCGTTTCACGCCGACCGCTGCTGACCGCACTGTGTTCGACGCAATGCATGAAGTATTCACGCAGTTTTGTAGGCGCTACTAGGTATGTGTTACATGCCGACCGCCGCG